TTTAACCACCAAAAGAAACACTACTCAATAGGAGAAAAAAAAGTAGTGCAAACCTGATTTAGGTGGCTTATAGCCCCAACTTGGGTCAGTTTAGGGTTTAGGGTTTAGGGTAATCCCCCACCCAGGAATGGGTTACCACAAAGGACTAGTGTAGGTGTATTACGGCCCTAGTAACTTCGTATTTGGGGGCTATAACTGTAGGGGGGATTGGCCTAAGCCCCAACTTATAACCACCCCAAGTCTAGTTCTCTCCCTATGTACCCCAACATCCCCTTACGTAATCCCTGCATAGTCCCCGAATAGTAGTTTCCAGAAACAGGGTGGCCCCCCGTATGGACTCTCAATTACTATAATTTCATCTCTAGGGATTCCCCCAAACGGGACCCCCAATCTTGGGATAGCCTAATCCCTGTCATCAACCGCATAACCCCAAGATTCCATGTTATTTTCCATTTTCTTGTCCATGCGATTCTCCGTTATCGGGGTAGTATCGCTAAACCCTAAACCTTGAATCCCTAGCCCTAAACACTAAACCCTAAGCCCTAAACCCTAAGCCCTAAGCCCTAAACCCTAAACTTTCAAGTGCTGCAGGTTATGGACTCGGCAGGCCTCACTGTGCAGCTCATCCGACGTACCCATGCGGACCTTTGCACACGTCTCCCGGTAGGCATGTCATGATACATGATTGTTTGGGTTTAGTGCTTAGGGCCTAGGGTCTAGGGCCCTAAGCCCTGAACCCTGAACCGGTATAAGATTCTGTTACAGAAGATCGCAGCACATTACAGTACCTGATTCTATCTTGGATCTTTTTGCCTATCTTTGCATGGCTGCTATGTCTCTTCGCTGGACTCTAACCATGCTATGTATGTAGAGCAATGTACTAAGACATAGGTTGGGTACTGCCCACACCCGGTAACAGCCTATATTAGGGGTCCTATTAAGGGCTATATATAACCATATTATAAGTATTATTCAACTGTTACTGAGGGGGGCAGTACCCAAGTGATATAGATATGATATAGGGTTTTGTGACAACGGCCTTTTCCGCCGGCACGAGTACAATATATCGCTTAAGATCTCCAAACATCTATAACACGGAAAATGACGTATTGCACTCTCCAGTTCTACCCTGGAGCCCGCCCCTTCATGGAAACCCCCAACCCTAAAGCCTAAACCCTTAACCCTAAAGCCTAAACTTTAAGCCTTAACCCTAAACCCTAAAAACCCTAAAAACCCTAAAGCCTCAACCGCGTGCAAAAAAGAAAGGCAAGCTCTGGGTCCGTTGCAGGGCAGCGGAACTCATCCAACCATGACGAGCAAGCCACGAACAACATGACCATGCAAGCGCAGTACTGCGAACCCCAAATTTAGGATTTAGGGTTTAGGCTTTAGGGTTTAGGATTTAGGATTTAGGGTTTAGGATTTAGGGTTTAGGACAAGAACCATATAAAACTGGCTATGTACATATCCATAAGCGTATGTGCATACGTGGGTATAGCTCCCCGAACCTATATAGATAACAATGTGTGTAAACATATGCATTAACACGTGCATGTCTATACACATGAAACCATCTCCCTAGAAACTCTGAACCTCATGAATGGTCATGAGTGTGTATGTATGTATAAATAAAATGTGTATATATGTACATATGTATATATGTATAACAGCTCCCTCTGAACTCCCTATATAATTCCCTACATAACTCCCTCTGAGGATTTTCACCCTAAACCCTAAAACTTTAGACTATAACCTGCTTATAAACTCCCTCAATCATCCCTATAACTTTAGACCATAACCTGCTTATAAACTCCCTTAAACCCTAAACCCTAAAACCCTAAACCCTAAAACCCTAAAACCCTAAACCCTAACCATGTAACCAAGGGCGGGGCCGTGATGCCCCCAGTCGCCGGGGTGCCTGCCGTTGCACCTCGAAGCCTCGGGATGCGCCAGGACTATGAAGGATTTAGGGTTTGGGGTGTAGGATTTAGGGTTTAGGGTTTAGGGCTTAGGTTTTTTTTGTTTTTTGCAGCGGCTCTTTTCCTCCTTGTGGCGGAAACAACCAGTCGGTCAGCCGGCGGAGCGCACTACCAGCCACCCCCAGATGTGCAAGTCACGTACGGATCAAGCACACCAGGGAAATTCCCCTTGCAATCACCCCTCACAAAACGAGCATGTTCTCATTCACTCAGGATTGTTACCATTTGGCGCGACGCCCTCGACATCCATGGCCTCCATTTCACCCTTAAGCAACCTGTACCAGTCCAGCCCTGCTTGTCCCATTCTTTGATGAACTGCTTCATCCGACAGGACCCCACTCAACCACAGCTGCAAGTAATCCATTGAAATTTCCTCACTGGGCTGCGACGAGCTGCTGGCCGCCATGGCCAGGGGCTCCACGTCGGCCCCTGATCGTGTGGGACCGCCGACTGGAAACACCGATTGCTTTGCGTTGATCCTGAAGGCTGAAAACGAACAGCGACGTGGAAGGGACCATCCACCTCCCCAACATCCAGCCGGGCCCTATCCAAGGTACATTCCAAGGTCCTGTCTTTGGCCGTCACATATAGTCCAGGGCTCCTTCCCACTCTTGTCGCTCAATGTCAGCCAGCTTGCGTCTGTGAATGCTGCCAGCTGCTTCCCTTGCGAGGTGGCCGGTAGACGCCACCATCATCCTGCGCAGGGCTGCTGAAATGGCCTGCCACTGGGTCATTGCTCATTCATCTTCTTCAATTCCTCCATTCGAAGATTCCCCAATGAACCTTTCCAGAGTAGAATCCACCAGTTGTACTGCTTGACCCAGGTGGCTTGTTCTGGATCGGTAGTAGGCTGAAGAATGACGCAGTTGTCTCATCGCTGCGGCTTTGCGATGGGCCTCACCCTTAGGGTTTAGGATTTAGGGTTTGGGGTTTAGGGAATAGGGTTTAGGGTCGAACCGTTGAGGTTGACCTGAGTAATATTGAGGGTTATATAGGGATAATGGTAAAGAAAATGGAAACTACCATTTAGGGTTTACGGTTTCGGGTTTAGGGTTTAAGGTTTAGGGTTCTAGGGTTTAGGCGTAAGGGTTGAGTGTTTAGGGTTGGGGCGAACGAGCGAGCTAAAGACATGAAGTAAATGCTACACGCACTGACTATAGAGATAATGTGTATATATCTATGGTACAGAAGACACCAAGCAACTATGGATATATAATTTGTACGATACTGTCTATTATAAGTGTGGATATGGAATTCGTACCATACTTTCCAACTACAAGTGCATTTTGCCGCTTCCCTCCAGCAAGTGCTACAAGCTCTCCTTGCATAGGGGTTTAGGGTTTAGGGTTTACGGTTTAGGGTGGCACTTGGGATCTCAGGGATGTATGGAAGGCATACTAGAATTCTTGGCGCCCTTCAATCCGGCTATGTATGCTATATTATGAGCTATAGTCTAAACTCCTAGTATCCCCCTGAATAAGCCCTATAGTAGTCCCCCGTGTGGTCCCTATATAACCCCGTTAAGGAGTTTAGACCCTAAACCCTAAACCCTATACTATATATAGGGGATTATATCACATAATCCCCTATATAACCCTAAACCCTAAACCCTAAACCCTAAACCTAAACCCTAAACCCTAAAACCCTAAACCCCCTTTAAGGAGTTTAGACTATGGCTTATATGGGAGAAACACCCTCACCTCTAGGCGCCCAACCCCATGCAGCTCTCCGGATTTTCCCCACCTGTCCAGGGAGATACTTGCAGGCAAATGGGAATTATAGAGGGTTTAGGGTTTAGGGTTTAGGGACCCCAGCACGAGTGTACTTCTAGCCCTGTACTAGCCGATTTCGGTACTTAAGGGGCTTACAACTGGATTCCTAACACAACTGCGTAGAGGTTACGACTGCCCATCTCCAAGTAAGCTCCTACGCATCCCAAGCCCTCCAGCCTAAACCTGCTAGGATTCCTAGGAAGTAATATGATTTGGAACCAGTTAGGGTATATTCCTAGGTTAAGTGATGTTAAGTTGTATTGGGCTTAGGGTGTAGGGTTTAGGTCGGTCCAGTTTAGGCTTTAAGGTTTAGTGTGGGAACACGCACAAAGGCGCCGCCTTTTTCTTCCGTCGGATGGCTACCACCAAGCCTTAGAGCACCCGCTTGCAAGCTCCGAGAGGTTAAGTCTTTAGGGATTAGGGTTCAGGGTCAACTACTTGAAGGGCCATGGGCCATTCTAGCCTCAGCCTATCTGTACTCATATCTCAGTTGCTATGTTAAAAATAGCCCATGAACCTCCAAGTACCAGAGTAACTCTGCAGCGGCTCACATCTGAGGTTCCCAACAAGTAGATCCCCAGCAACAGGGAATAGTCTATGATGTTGTTGTCTCTCAGAAAGGCGCCTCGGTCATAATTGCACACGGCAAGCCTATTGTAGGCAGAGACTCCCAAAAGGGGAACCCTAATTTTTAGAAACCCTAAGCCCGAAACCCTAAACCCTAATCCCTAAACCCTATATTCTACCCATTATGGTAACTCCATGATTGAGTCCTGCACTGTCCCTCTCGATCTGCGCGACAAGCTTTGCTTTTCGCTCGGGACCCACTGCGATGGACTCCTTGGCCTTTGTGAAATCAACATCCTGACCAGCCATGGTTTAGAAGGGTGGAGGGTTTAGGGTTTAGGGTTTTTAGGATTTGGGGTTGAGGGTTGTTTGTCTCTTGCGTTTCAGTTTGCGGGGTTTAGAGTATGGGTTGTAGGTTTCAGGGTTGAGGACTCAGGGCTTTCACAGTTGCCCATAGATGGTTGTCTGAGGTCTTGCTTCTGGCACAATGGGGTCTAGATCCCACAAATGTTTAGGGTTCAGGGTTTAGGGCTTACGGTTTAGGGTTGCGGCCATAGTGTTTAGGGTTTAGGCCTTAGGGTCGGGTTTAGGGTTTAGGGTACAAGCGATACGAAGTTTCACATAGCATGACTCAATCGGAATTTCTCAGATACTACCCCTATACAACTCCTACGACTACGAAGCTTACTAACCTCTACACACGCATACATCATACATATAGATGTGTGTGTATATACATGCGTGTACACCTCGACTCCCTAAGGGCCGCGCTTCGAGAAGGTCCCTTAAGCCACAACCCGAAACCCTAAAACCTGTAGCCTAAACGCTACTAAACCCTGAAACCCTCCAACCATATAAAGCCTAAACCCTAAAACCCTACATATCTCTATCTAAGCCTCTATATCCCCTGTAACCCAACCCTGAACCCCAAACCCTACATCCTAATCCTAAACCCTAAACCCCACTCCCCCTATAGGCCCTTGAAGCGGACTGCCCGAGTCCTTGAGGGCCACTGATGGATCTTTGTCCTCGTCCTTTGTGACGCGCCCGACCCAGGATCCTGGCGCTTTAGGGGTTTAGGGGTTTAAGG